TAATAGATATGTATTCAAATATCCAATTTATTTGTCTGTATTTGTATTAATAATTATAATTAGTAAAATAATATAGGTAACATAATTTTATGATTTTCGATTATTAGATTAAAAATACTAAACGAATATCTAATACGGCAGGTGGTAGGTCACGCAGTAGGTTTTTCCTATATTTTTATTTTTATTTTATACARTTTTTCCAAWTTTTTAATAAAAATACYGAGAACTTTTTATTCTAAACTTCCCAAAAATGTAAACTATAGATTTACTTTCCTATCAGAAAGAATTTTGAAGTTGCAAATTGTAGCATTTTTTTTATATTCTCTCAGAATATAAAACTTTTAAGATATATACTATGTATGACATGTATGTAGTATTAGAAAAATCCTACTAAATAGTCAAACATTCATAATATTTTCGAATTTGACATTGATGATGTGATTTTTATTAATAATTTGCAAATTTTTTACGTAGTTTGTCAAAAATCGAAATTTAAATGCTTATATAACATAAATCGTGACTATGTATTTTCAATATTTTTTAACTACCATTGTAACAATATATTAGGAGCCTTGTATTACATTTTATTACTTTTTTACCCAACGAATAACATTTTATTGACATTTATAGAAAAAAAAAAACTAAAATAATAGAAAATTTCAAATGTCTCTATACATAACTTAAAAGATTCAAAATATTTTTGAAATTGTATCAAGTATAGGAAATGCCAATATAAACATTCATTGAATATTTCCCGTATTACGATAATTTATTGTCATAGAGTTGTACCAAAAACCAAAATCGATTTTTCCGAAACTCGGTTTTAAGTAAAAATTTATATTTGTTTTAATTTTTTGTTTGATTTTCCTGCCGCGTTTTTGAAAATTATTTAGATTTTTTTCTTTTGACCTTTAAAGTATACTTTAGCTATAGCAACTAGATTCAATTCTCTACCAGAAAGGCAAAAAAGCTAACTTAAGTATTCAAAGAAGCTTTTTTACTTACCCAAAAAGTGATGACTGACACAAAAATAAAAAATTACTCACATCATTATAAAATCAATACCTTTATTGATCCGCTCAGAATCTAAAGTTTAAAAACTATTTTTAATAACAATGAATTAACGACCATGTATATTTAGTTAGATTTATAGTTGTTAATTTTATTTGGACTTTATAACTTTGTTTCGCAAAGTTTAMTAAAATATAAAATTAATTTGTTCGTAAAATTTTGTTTTTTAAATACATTAGTCTTAACTTTCAGTATCTTACGTGAAAAATTGCACTTACATGTTAAAAACGCCAAATCTTAACAGTTGAAATAATCGATGTTATCTAGGCGTACGTGTACACCGTATGTGTTGACCRTTATATAGATATTGCTGTACACAAATACACTGAAGTCCTAAAATCTAGTAGAAYGAATAATATTTTAAGAGGCTAAATATCTGCAAAAATGGCGTACCGTGGAGAGGAAAGTGGTCAATATGAAATGGTCCTAAATCTTCAAAATATGTCGGGCCATGGCCCGACCTTAACATAGGGTTCGGCGCCACTGCCTGTATGCCTTTATGTATATAGATCGATAAGTTATCGACAGTTACATTGCGTTTAATATATTAAATAATCAAACTGATCAACGAAAACAAAAATAATATCCGATAGCCGTAGCTACGTAGTCGGCTACACAATTGCATGTATGTCTGTCTCTGTATATGGACTATTATATAGGCATTATAGGCTATAACATGCAGTTATGATGCTCGACCATAGACATAATAATATATTATTATGTCTATGTGCTCGACCAGCGGCCCGCGAAGGTATTCTGTGTGGCCCGTTACAAATTTTTAAATCAAACAATATATTCTAAAAAAAGTCAAGTTATATCTGTTTATTTTATAATAGAAATGATGATAATAAAATAACAAAAAATACATAATATATTGATAACTTTCAAATTAATTATCAACGAGTAATGGCATTATTGTGTTGCAAAACATAATATTTAAAAAAAATAACTAAAGATTGTGACTTAATATTAAAAAGGTTTATTTGTATAGTAATAACTAATAACTAATACCAAAGTATAGTAAATAGTTACTGTCAATTGATACAAAATAAAATTAAGAGATTCAATAAATTGTACCTTTAATCGAGCTATAAATCAAAACAATATTATAAACCATTAAAGTGTAATATCTTAGAAACAAATTATTAAACATGCAATTATTGCATTTGTATWCTGATATTTGTWAACAAAATAAATATTAAATAATATAAAAATGTATTACAGTAAAAATACTTAATTCATATAAAAACTGCAACAGCATTGTATTATTGTAAAACTAATTAAAAAATTATTGAAAATGAAATAAATTTTTTTGGAAAAACTCCAATATAAATCCATCATTTTTGTATATAATTGTAGGAGGGATGCAAAATGCGAATTATAAAAGTGGATGGATGACATCCCCCTCCAATTAAACCATTGCAGGTATAATACTATTAATAACTAATTGTTATAACCATTAAGGCATTAACATAATAATTATAGCTTATATAGCTATAGCTGCTTAGATAATTCCTTGTAGTCTCCGACCAGCTATTACAGCTAGATTGTAGTCTAATCTTAGATACATTGTTATAGTTTACGGATCAATTATGTTGATCAGCTGAAATTCAGATATTAATATATGATGTTGTATAATATCTCAAATTCTCAACTATTTAACTTTAAAGTTTTTTCTTTGCTTTAAAGTAAGGGTTTGGGGAACGTGGCGCGCGTTTGTGCGACGGCGGCTATGACTTGTGCCTGTTAATTGGCCACACTGTACAGCGGACGGCGTTCGCCCAGTGCGTACCAACCTTACAAGGCGACGGCGACGGCGCTTTTCCTGACATTCGGGGCTCGGGCTGCTGCAGCTCCGTCGCGCGGTTATTATCGTCGCGTTCACTGTCTACGGCCGTCGACGACTGACGTGCGCACGAGCGAGACAGATAGTTTGTTATTTTCTTTTCTATCCTTTATTATTATTATTATTATTTTTTCTATAATACTACTACGTGCTCGACCGAAAACTGACGACGGCGACAAGTGAGTGTGTGCGCGCGCGTTCTCTCCCCAGTCACTGTACCCGACCGACCACCACTGACGACTCTCGCGTCCGTGTGTGTGTGTACGTGTTTGTATATGCGTTTGTATGAGTGTGCGTGTGTTTTGTTAAATCAATTGCCCTGTTCACGTTATCGCTCCGTTGTCGTCGCCGTAAATCTCTTCGTTTTTATTCGTTCCCGTAGCCGTTTGACGCCATCGCCGTCACCGACAGTTCACCACGGCCAGATAATATTCGATCGCAGAGCATCGGTCCCGGCGGTGATGTCGTACGCTAGAGGCACGGACGATACGACGTCTACTGGGCAGACGTCGCCGCCGCCGCTAACCCGTCCGCGCGTCTGATCGCCAACGATAATAGTATTATTCTCTCACGCGCAATCGTGTTCTGCCACCGTACGGGCCAATGATCCAAGCTCACGTCTCGTGATATTAATATTAATATATATATATATATATATTACTTGGCTTTTTTTTTGTGTGTTTTTATTATTAACCCACCAAATAGTTCATTTTCGAACGATGTGACGAGCAGAGGATTCTACCGATATTTGTTTTCCGTTCGCGATGACCGGCCGACCGGCGTTCGACGGGTCCAAGTTTGTTGTGTGCCGGACTACTGACGTGTCGTGATAACATGGAAACGGATATTAAGCAGCAGCGTATCAAACGCAGTAAGCGCCGTGAACGGGCTCAGCGTATGCACGCAAAGAAACATGAGCTGGACAGTGGCGAAGAGGACGAACTGTCCACAAAAGAAAAGGCTCAGAGGCCTCCGCCGCCGAACCGCAGRAAAAAGAAGGAAACKACACTGTTTGACGAAGACGTTGTCGATGGATTTGCTATTCTTTCTTTCAAGTCGTAYGAAGATCTTGAAGTGAGTGAACACAATTCATATTAAAATTGTGTAGAGCACCTTAAATTTACTTACTACTTGCATAGGCAKTTGTTTTAACAAGTCTATGACCTATAAGTTYTAATTTTGTCGTATGTTATCAGTTGACTCTTACTGATGATATCTGACTGAATTTTTATTTAACTTTTAAGTATCATTATTCTCTTCTAATCTCCAATATCTGTTGTATACTTGTATACATATGTATCTTAAATGCTGTTATTTGTAAAGGTAGCTGCAAATGCTAATCAAAATGTTCTTCAACGTGATAAGGCTGACAATTTTGTCATTATTGAATGATTACTATGTTACTAATCGTTACTAATCATTGATTTCTAAAATGAACCAGTATATTATAAAATCAATGTTAGTATATTTAGGTATCTACATAGTATAATATATATAATATTAATTTTCTGTACAGACCTAGGTAGTTATCGTATAATCTTCATGAAATGTTGTTAAATTTTATTTTTATAGTGGGTTAAGAAACGTTTACACAGTGTTTTGACCTTGTAGACAGTGAAACAGCATGGTTGTATTGCTTYATGTCTAGACGCTGTAGCAAAACCATAGATACCTTAACTCCAATTTTATCCATGTCCAGACATTGCATTATGCGATATGAGTGTTATTCTCCATTCAGTATCTATTCCCTATTATTAATTTAGCTATTGATACAATAATATAAAGCCTTGATTTATACATAGGTATTTACTCTTTGTTTTAATCTTAAATTWAGTATTGATTAATAATTAATAGTAATGTGTAATATATAAGTGTATATTGTATATAAGTTTATGATTAATTCAATTTTATTATATATWATATTTATGTGATAAGGTATCACATTGATATGTAACAATAACATTACAATATTTAGATAAGTACTTACCTACATACATAACAAATACTAATATTGACTATTCTAAAATCATACCTACCTATGTAAAACTCATAAACATCTATTATTTTTCATCATATTTATTGTTRTAAAAGTGCTGAATTTGTCAATTGTACCCGAGATTGTACCTATTTACTTCGAATGAGTTAAAATCATAATATTTTAGGTGCTATCAACAATCTACTACTGGGTTTGGTTAATGTCACTGGATAGAATATAAGAACATATTCATTTAGATGATAAAAAAAAAATATATATATACATATATAGGTACATACATTTTTAATAGCTTAAATCGAATGTTACTATAATATATATATTTGATATTTAATGGATTTAAAATTGTAGCTTATCTTAATGTATTTCACCCATTCATAGATATTAGTTATAATAAATTTATATGAATACAATATTATGCCATTGCTTATGTCATTGATATTTTCTAAAATAATTCTTAATTTAATTAAAAATATTTATTTCAATAGACATAAASTACCTAAGTACTTACCTATTTAAAGTATATTGTTATGTTTTTGTAGAATTAGATTTAAATACAAGATGATAGATAATTTAATTACCAAAGGTAGAGGTAATTTCTTTATATTATTGTCTAAATATATTGATAATATTTTACTCATTAAGTAAGCCACATAGTTTGTATTTATTATCTATTATTATTTAAACAATATTAATATTTGATTTATAATTTGCTGAAAATACCTACTGTCAATAGTTGAATTAACCCCTGAATTAACCATGTTTAATTCTTAATTGATTTTAATGAATCAGAATTTTTATCTAAGTGGATATCAATTCAATATTTTATATACCTGTTGTATCTAACCTAAATAAATTTGATAGTCATTATCCATTGTATAATAATAATTGTATGGTAAATAGTTGTTTAGTTTAAATTTGGTTGATTGATTACTTATAAGTCCCATAATTTGTACATAGTTTATCTAGGTATAGTGTTTAAAAGTCCTAACTATTTTTAATTTCATAATTTCCTCATAAAGATAAGGTAAAAAGACGTTCCTACTTACCATTAATTATAAATAATTAATTATTTAAATTTCTCTTTAATAGATTATGTTCAATACCTATCTTATATATTTAATATATCATATCATWGAGTTAAGAATGAGGATATAGGTAGGTACAACTATTTAATTATCTAAATATTGCTTTATTTAAGACTTAAAAAGTTAACATAATATCAGAATAAATATTGCTGTTACTTTTTGAGTAAGTTAGTAGAGAAAAGAAATATATTATAGGTACATTTTTATATTGTTGGTTGCATTTAAAACTTTTTTTTGTTGCGTATGGCGCTATGTCCTGGAGTAGACACAAAGGCCTAGGTAGTTTCAATGTCTATTTAGCTAAATTTCAAAGCCCAGTTAGGGGATGGTGGTCTCGTTCCCTAAATAGTTGCTTGTCCAAAGAGAGATACCACTCATGATCGGGATTTGAACTTGTGTCAGTGAGTGTTAGAACAGATGCCAATTGCCACTCCATCCCCCACATTTATAATGAAATCAGGTTTGATTAGTAGGCACCAATGATTTCCATCTTAATAATCACGATAGTTTAAAATATTACTTAAATTGAATGATATAAAATATAGTTAGTATTTGATTGATGATAATGTTGGAACTAGCTATATATTTAAGCATATTATTTATTATTGAACTTAAACATAGATCATGTTATACCTAGCCTTATAGTAGGTATCTAGTCTTTAAGTTAATTTTGTTAATCTTAATTACTCAATCATCTAGTTAATGTTAAAAATAATTTATTTTGAAATTTTTTAAACTTCTCTTGGGTAATGTAGAATTATTTAAATTTTTATAATTTAGTAATTAATCATAATGTTATAATGTTGCCAAATGTGTTTGACTTTTGATCATATTATCAAATTCCTGAGTGGCCAGGTCATGTACTCATGTCTAATGCATCATACTGACACAAATAATGAATAGACACAAAATAATCAATGGAATGTAATTTATTTTGTGAATCTTTCATTAAGTTTTTTTGGCTTACTTACAGATTTAATTTTTTTTAAATAAATGCTTTTACCCAGCTTTTACTTACATAACTTAGAAATATTTAGTATGAACTTTTGTTTGTATGATCTTCAGTTATAGTACCCTAATTTTAATTGCTGCTCATATATATATATATATATTTGTATGACATGGCAATGTACAAACATTTTTTAATCTATAGTGTATAAACCCGGGTATAAATGTTACTTATAATTGGTATTTTTAAGTAATTTAAGTTAAAATTGATAGAGTATGCATCTAATAAATTTAAAATACGCAAAAAAAAATATATATTAAATTAAGAACAATTACTCATTAATAATATGAAATTACCTATATTAAATACAATTCTTTTATTAAATATTACCATAATCTTATAAAATTTACTAACAATTTTCAAAATATTCTGTAGAACTACTAAACTACTTGTTGTATAAAATTACTATATTATTGTAATAAGTAAAGGTAACCTATTAATTCTAAAAAAATTTTAAAAATTATTTATGATGTAAATTACATTTTAAATTATTTTTTAAAAAATCCTATTGCTATACAATTATTAGATTTACAGCTTGTTTAAAGAATATTTATAAATATTGATTGTTATAAATTCTTTCTTAGCWTAATGAAGAATTTTTTCAGTTSAAAGTTAGTTTGTTTTTTTATTCTCAATATTAATCTATTTTTACAATTTTTTAATGGTAGTGAGTCATGAAATTATTGATTTATTAATTTAATTAAGCTTGGTGAAGACTTAAGATTAAAACACATTTCAATTAATTTTTTTTAAGTATTAATTGTTTCGCAAATTTTTAAATATTAATTAATTTTTCAGTATGATAAACAATATCAATTGCGTTCTTGTATTGTCATTTACTCATATTAGTATACAAGTATTTTATTTATTGTTTTACTATAATTTAGAAACAAAATAAAAATTTGTTTCTGGGATTTAAAATCTAGTAATGTAAGTCTTTAGTGTATTTTTCCAAGAAATTTTTATTTTTGTTGAACTAATAAATATACTATAAAAGTTGATTGGTAGTATTGATTGATATTTATTTTATAATCATTATAAATTATTATGTTAACCAAAGAGTCATAATTCATAAATATTTAATGTTATATTTAATTAGTGAATACATCTAGATAATTATTTGATATTTCAGTTGGATTTTGATTTACACTTTAAAATATTTTTAGGTATTTATTTAGGTATTTATTGTGCAATATGTAGTAATTTTTTTACTTGTTTTCTTAGAACTTACTTGCTGGGATAGTAAAGTGGTCTAAATTATTCTTAAGTATTTCGTCAGTCAATAGATTACTATTTTAACACATCAAATTATTCYTTATACTTAAGTAAAACATATATTTTTCAGTAATTAGAATTTGTACTAAAAAATAATTTTGAGTAATGACGCAAACTTTAAACTAAATGTGAGGAATAGTTTTATAAATGTAATTATTGTGTGTTAAAAATTAAAATTTAAAGCCATCGTTAGTTATTAATCTGAATTATCGTGTTATTTACTTATTTTTTTATTTTTAAACATAAGATAAACAATACAAGTGTACCTATCAGGAATGATGTTTATTTATTATTCCCTTAGTAAAATAAAATGATTTTGAATCTTTATTGTCTTAGTCAAGTATTTTTGTGGCATGTGATTAAATGAATTAAATAAAGATATTTTAACGTAAATAATAATTTCAGACAATGCAAGGGCTTTTTTTTCATTTTTGTCAATTTGTGATATTTTTATATGATACGCTATGTAGTAAAACGGGGGGTAATTTGGAACTCGATCAGTTAGCGTAATGACTTAGGTAAAGGCGTAAAGTTCGTATAACTGTTTGACATATTAATGACACGCGTTACTATGTCATTGGGCCCGAATGCCTCGGATAATTTTACCGATGTTACAGTTAAAATATATTTGATTAGGATTAGTATTATCCATTATCATATTTTTCGACTATTAAAATCATTACTTAAGCTAATATAATATTTCTATTTA